TACATACATACATACATACATACATACACACATACATACATACATACATATATATGTGTGTGTGCACATATATATACATATATATATACACATATATATGTATATACATATATATATGTGTATATATAGATGTATATATATATATACATACATATATATACATATATACATACATATATATACATACATATATATACATATATACATACATACATACACATATATACATACATATATATATATGTTTATTTGTTTATTTATTTATTTAATTTTTTTTTTAATAAAAGAGCAACTTGTGGCTCCTTATTCATTAATAATAAAAGAATTACAAAATGCTAGAGAGAAAATGGATCCCAACTAAAAGCAAAAGAAAATATATTGAGGTCCTAGGAGTTCCATAATCCACATTACAACTCCATACAAAAAAAGAAAACTATAAAATAAAGGTATAGTATACTCAAATGTACATGTACCCCAAAAAGTATACCAAAAAGAAGAAGTATACCCAAAATTGACATGTACACCGAAGACCAAATCAGCAATTGTGGATAACAAAAAGAGAAGGAAAATGCTCTCGACGAAGCTTAATAACAACTATAGCATTGAATTTTTCCCCCAAAGACTTGCAAAATCACGCAAAGGTCCTGCAAAATAAGAAATACCACCCACTCCAACCAAAGACGCATAAAATCATAAATATTGATAATATTCTATATGAAATCCACACAGTCCACCAAAACAAATATGGTAATACAACTGAAATCAGTCTACATGACCTCCACGCCCAAATCTTGCTCCAAGGAATTAAAACAACCAAAAATCATACTGCAGGAATCTTCAGCCGAAATCCAAACCTCAAAAGCAAGCCAAAAAATGATGTAACTACCATCAAAATTGAATTTGCCCCAATCTAAAATTGGGGGTTGTCATCTAAAAAAGATGGCCTTCCTACCCAACCTAGACTTGCGGCCATACCCGATAAGCAGAGAACCCGACATGCTCGATGAAAGTGGTCAATAATATTAGAAATTGTAATAGAAGCAGCACACCTAGTAATGCCATGTTTAGCGTCATTTCTTGCTGCCCAAATGAACCAAAGAGCCACAAGAGAAAACTAAGACAACCTCTTATCAACATGAGTTGCATTACTCCAAATACTGAGAAAATCAGCAATGGAAGAGTAATTCAGCCATTTGATGGTAAAGTGATTGCCCAAAATATTCCAAGTATTCGTAGCAAAAGGGCAAAGAAAGAAAAGATGCATAATTGTTTCAGAATCCCTTTTACATAAATAGCATCGGGATGCCAATTTTAAACCTTTGAGCTTCAAAATATCATCCAAAGGTAACATTGTGAGAAAAAACCTCCACAAAAAGAAAGAAATGGATGGTGAAATGAGACGATTCCAAATAACATGCCCCCATCTCCAACCACTATACTGATAAAGGTTAGCAAAAAGCATTTTAGTAGGAGAAAGAGAACCAATAGATTTCCACATAGAACGGTCCTTAGTAGTAATCTTTAGAGGCATTTTAGATATCATAGTAACTTGCTCACCAAAAATAAGATTAAGTTTATTGACATCCCAATTATCATGAAGCCACAAATCCGAGTGAATCAAGTCATTTGAAAACCCATGTTGTAGAGGGAAAGTAAAAGTAAAATCCCCCTGACCACATTGATCATGCTATACCGAGATGTTGCCCTCACCGACATCCCAAAAAATGAATCTCGGAGCCATAGTTCTAGCTTTAATAATTGCTTTCCAAATCTTAGAGTCACCCACTTTCCAATTAACAAAAGTCGGATGATGTTTGGAACAATACTTTTGATGCAAAAAGTTAACCCATAAGGAGTCATTCAAACAAAATTTAAACCAAAACTTACACATATTAATCTCAGAGATTTGGTTAAAACTTTTAATGCCCAAACCACCAGCCTTCAAAGGTTTGCAAGCTTTATCAAAAGAAGATCAATGCTTCCTAGATTGACTTCCAGATAAAAGAAAATGATTAAAATCCTCTCTAAAGTTTGCTGAGTGCTCCTCTTAAGATTGAGAATTTGCAAAGCATACATAAGAATGCTAATTAAAACACTTTTGGGCAAGGTGAGACGACCTCTGTTAGAAAGGAAGATATTCCTCCAGTCCTCAAATTTGAACTTGATTTTCTCAACAACAACATCAAATTGAGTTTGCTTCCGACGACCCCTTAACAAATTAACACCAAGATACTTGAGAGGGAGAGTAGATGAGTGACACCCAGTGAAAGAAGTAGCCCAAGAAGCAACAGAGCGATTAACATACTTTCCAAAGTATATATTACATTTATCTCTACTAAAGATTAATTCAGAAGTTTGTTAGAACTCGTCGAGCACCTTCATCAACAACATAATAGTGTTTTTATCGACATTAGAAAAGAGGATAACATCATCCATATAAGCGAGGTGACTAACCAAAATCGTAGACTTATGATGAAAGTGCGTGTACAACTTTTTTTGCTACAATTCGTTGATCAAACGAGAGAAATAATCAAAAGAGATTATAAAAATCATCGGCGGAAGAGGATCACCTTGCTTAATGCCCCTATGAGCAGAAAAGAAACCATATGTATTACCATTAACCATAACACTGTAGTGATTATTATGTAGCCATCTTTTAATAAGAGAAATGAAGTTGTGATGGAAGCCACATGCATGCAGAATGTTGATAATGAAATCCCATTTGATCGTGTCAAAGGACTTTTTAATATCAAGCTTGATAATCATATTACCACTACGACATTTCTTATCGAGATCCTCAATAAGCTCTTAAGCAAGTAAGATATTATCAGCGATCTCATGACCTTTAACAAAAGGCGACTGTTGAGGCGAGATAATCTTGGTAAGAAGAGGTTGAAGTATGGAAAGCGTCAACTTACTCAAAACTTTAGAAATAAATGAAGTGAGGGAAATTGGTTGAAATTTGTCCCAGCTAGATTTATCAGCTCCTTTAGGAATGAGACTAATAACTGCAGAGGTAATGTATTTCCCAAGATCTTCCCCACGAAAGAAACTTTGAATAGCTGGAATAATTTCCCTTTTGATAATGTCCCAATAGAAGACATAGAAGGAGGCTGTAAAATCATCCGGCCTAGGAGCTTTGTTTGTATTAATATCTTTGAAAGCATTAAAATTTCCTGCTCTGTAGGAACTTCATGAAGGGAACAAGAGGAAAAATAATCCAGTTCACTATCAAAGAGAGAAGCATTAATCAGAAGAACCTGAGAATTGGTCATAAAGAGATCCATGAAATAATCAACCGCGCTTTTGCCAATATCTTCATCGTGAATAAGAAGACTTCCAGAAGGAGATTTAATTTTAAGGATAGTGGTTGTATTCCTCCTGTGCTTAATAGAAGCATGAAAGTACTTAGTGTTTTAGTCGACATTGGAAAAAATAGTGTCATTCACATTTTGTTGAAGAAAATCTTCCTCTAATGAGATAGCCTCCAAAAGATTAGAGTGAGCAGAGGCCAACTCATCAACAGGTGTGGGGAGCAAACAACCTCTTACTCAAGACTATCAACAATCCTTTGTGCCTCTTGGACCTTCCTATGAGCATTACCAAACACATTTAAATTCCATTTACACAATTATGTGGAAATCTTTTTATGAAGTTGCCACAAAATGTAATAAGGGTTATCTGCACACTCAATTTTCCACTCTTGTTTAATCAGATCCCAAAAAGAATCATGAGTTATCCATATATCAAGAAACTTAAAGTGATAAGAAACATGCTTAACGGTGAACGCAATCGAAAGAAGAATAGGGTTATGATCCGAGGCAGCGTGATTTAGATGAAGAACTCTAGAGACATGGAAATGGTTGAGGAAGTGTTGATTACCAAAAAAAATCCAACCTCTGGGCAAGGGTTCCATTCACCAAGTAAAAGGAGGACCCATAAAGCCCAGATCAGAGAGACCCGCTTTGTTGATATTTTCACAAAATTTATTAACCAAACTAGAATTACATCTCTCTCCACCTTTTCTTTCAGAAGGTGTCATATTCATATTAAAATCTCCCCCCACAAACCAGTTATCATGAATAGCATCCCCCATAAGAGCTAGTTTATGTCATAGATAGTATTTATCCTGAAGTAAAGAGCTAGCATACACAAAAGTGACCCACGCAGAGTAGATATCCTGCTTAAAATGAAGCAACACAAATTGTTCTTCATCCTCTAGAATAGTAAGATCAATGTTA